CAGACCCAGCTTGATGAGCGCAACAAGGAGATCGAATCTCTAAACCAACGATTGGAAGAGGCACAAAAGCAACTCAAGCAGCTGGAAGAAGACAAGAGCACGCACACAGCCAAGGTTGATGAGTTGGAAGTTTCGCTTGCTTCATCAGACAAGCGCGCGAGCGAACTGGACGCCGAGTTGGCCAAGGCTTCAAACGCAAAGAACATGTCCAAGAAGTTGATCGATGACCTCAACAGCCAGATCGAGGCTCTGAAGAAGGAAAAGACCGAGAGCCAGACCAAGATTGACGATCTGACCAAGAAACTGGAGTCGAAGCCCGCTCCTGCTGCACCCACTCCCGCTGCAACTCCAACGCCTGCGGCCTCACAACCTGCTGCGGCTACGGGCGGTGGCAACAAGAAGAAGAACAAGAAGAAGAAGGGCAAGGGTGGTGCTGGCGGTGCTGCAGCTCCAACTGTAGAGGCCGCTGTGGAGACTCCTGAGCCAGCAGCTCCCGCCGAGCCTGAAGGAAATGCTGAGCTTGAGGCTGAGATCGCCAAGCTGAAGGAGGAGGTTGCTGAGAAGGATACGCAGATTGAACGTTTGAGCAAGAGGCGCAAGACTGAGGAGGATCTGCGCGAGGAGATTGAATCACTCCAAGAGAATCTGCTCACAATTGGTCAAGATCATGTTGAGGCCAAGGAGAAGATTAAAGAGCTCGAGGCGGAGAAGTTGGAACTCAAGACACAGATTGCTGATCTTGAGAAGAAGATTGACTCATCTGCTTCAGATGCCGAAGTCAGCACCAAGCTGCAAAGCGAGATGGAGTCCTTGAAGACAGAATACGACGAGCTCAAGGAGAAGACGACCACTCTGCAAGCCGACCTGGGCGCTGCTCAACAACTTGCCCAGAACCGATTCAAGGATCTTACAGACCTACGTGAGGTGCTACAGAAGGCGCAGCCTGAGTTGAAGAGCCTGCGCCAGGAGTCTGCTACGCTAAAGACTACGAAGGAGGAGCTCGCAGCCAAGACCAAGGAGCTCAAGGATATGGAGAAGCGAGAGAAGGATCTCAAGCGGGATGTGGAGCGTGTCCAGAAGTTAGCCTCGGATCGCGAGACTGAGATTAAGGGTCTACAGGAGAAATTGGCCACCGAGACAAATGCCAAACTTCGTCTCGAGGATGCCCAACGGGTATCTGGACGAGACCTTCGCCGATCTGAAGCTGAGAAGGTTGAGATTAGTGCAAAGGCTGAGAAGACGGAGGCAGAGCTTAAGATAGTACAGGAGGAGCTCGGCAAGTTGCGACCCAAGGTGAAGGAACTTGAGGAGCAGATGCACAAACTGAAGCGAGAGAAGACGGCAGCGCAAGAGGAGGCTGAGTTCAAGACGCAGCAGTACAGCAATGCTCAGGGACTGTTGAGTAGTATGCGAGACCAGACCGCGGAGATGTCTGTGCAACTGAAGGAGTCCAAGTCGCAGGCTGAGTCGCTGGAGGAGGAGCTTGCTGAGGTCCAGCGACTACTTCAGGAGCGTACGCGCGAGGGCGAGACGATGCGACGATTGTTGGCTGATGTCGATGAGCGTGCCGATAACAAGGTACGAGAGATGAGGGCGCGAATGGAGGCAGCTGTTGAGGAGCGAGATCGAATCGAGGACGAGTCGAGTACCCTTGCACGACGCAAGACACGCGAGACAGAAGACTTGAAGCTGAAGCTGAAGGATCTGGAACGCGAGGTCAAGACTCTGACACACGAACGAGATGAGCTCGAGCAACGTGAGAAGGAGTGGCGCCGACGACGAGAAGAGCTAGAATCGGTGGAAGAGAAGGCTGAGGCCGAGGCGGATGAGCTCCGAACAACAGCATCACAGTTGCGCACAGCTCTCGACGCATCAGAGAAGCAAGTCCGTGATGTTGAGAAGCAGCGAGCTGAGTTACGACGAATGCTGGAGGAGGCAAGGCAACGATACGAGAAGGTATCCAAGGATCTCAAGTCAGTGCAGACCAAGCTCGTGGCCAATTCAAGCCGTAGTTCATTCGACTCGGTACGAAGCGGAAGCAATGGCTCGCCGGCCGCTGGTGGAACTCCAGATACGGTCTATCTCAAGACCATTCTGCTGCAGTTCCTGGAGCAGAAGGACACCAAGCTAAGAGCTCAGCTTGTGCCGGTGCTGGGCAAGCTATTGCGCTTTGACAAGTAAGTATTTACTACGTACATCCTCGATGGACATGGACTAATCTAGTGTAACAGGACGGACGAGCAAAAGTGGCAGAAGGCAGTGCAACATATCGAGGTTAAATAGATGATGCTCGTGAGGGTGAAGGAGACTTGGAATGCATGGAATGGCGTTTGGTTTGGGTAACGCCGTTGAGGTCTGTAATGAGACGATATCGGATACAAGTGTAGGATTACTGTGAATGAAACAATCGAGTGTTGTTGTAACTGTCAATGCCTCTAAAAGGATCATGATTGTGTTGGATGTCGTTGAAGCTATAGTGGGGTAGCTATATGTTACGCCTCACGCTTCTACTTAGCTCACGCCTCTACTCAAGAAGCCATGACAACGCTATGAAGCCATTGCTTAACCTGAGAGGTCAATTCACCCGCTGATTTCTCAATACGGTAACTTGTGGCTTGGCCGATCAACGGCTTTTCTTCAACCTTTTTCTTTGTAAGCTTGTGAAGATCGCGATGAACCGATCAATTCATCATCTTGACCCCACGTCGACGTCATGATAGAGCCTCACGCTGCAAGAGACTCCAATTGTTGTTTCGCCTGTCATACCCTCTTCTTCCCTTCCTCACCCAATTCACGGATCAATTCCTCCGCTGTCTTTCGTCATGGACTGCGCAGAAGAGAAAGTGCTGATCTCATCATGAGCTCGTCATTGGGTGAGAGAGGAGCATAAGTTAAAGGTGAGATGGGCATTGGTTGAGATGCCAGTTCTTGCCAGTTGCAGTTTCTACTTTTTATTGTGTACCTTAGCTACCCCTCTTTTTTATAATTTGAAGAATTGTTTGGTATAAGAATCATGTCCAGGCAGTTTCTTAGACTTGGCTCCAGAAGCTTTCTTACATCTTCACTTCGACTCACGACTCCTTTTGTTAACAACTCTTGTGCCTCAACTTCAAGTCAACTACGAACCTTTAACTCAAGCAACAGAAAGGACTTTCAGTACACTACACGCACAATGTCAGGAACACAACCAGCAAGTGGCGGCGAGCACCGAGACTTTTCTCGCGATGCTTTGTTTGATCTCTCGGGCAAGGTTGCTCTCGTGACAGGTACGTCTATCAACAATCTCTAAGCTGAGAATCATGGCTAATAGATACAGGTGGTGGCTCTGGCATTGGTCTCATGGCCACTCAGGCCCTCGCCGTCAACGGCGCAAAGGTCTACATCACCGGCCGCACAAAGGAGAAGCTCGACACCGTCGTCGAAAAGTACGGCAAGAATATCGCCGGCGAGATCATCCCCATCCAAGCCGACGTTGGCAACAAAGAGGGCATTAAGAAGCTCTACGAGGAGTACTCCTCTCGCGAGAACTGCCTCTGCATTCTCGTCAACAACGCTGGTATCTCGAGCAACTCTTTCCAGGTCGAGGCCGATTCTGCGCAGGAGATGAAGGAGAATCTCTTCGACAACAAGGATGCTACCTTTGAGGACTGGAACTCGACGTACAACACCAACGTCACGGGCATGTACTTCACCACTGCTGCTTTCTTGCCTCTCTTGCAGAAGAGCAGTGAGAAGCACCAGGGCTGGAGTTCAACAGTCATCAACATCAGCTCCATCAGCGGTCTTATCCAGAAATCTCAGCACCACTTTGCCTACAACGCCTCCAAGGGTGCAGCCGTGCATCTCACACGCATGCTCGCCGCCGAGATTGTGAGCAACAAGCTCAAGATCCGCGTCAACAGTATTGCACCTGGTGTCTTCCCCTCTGAGATGACCACCGATGGTAGTGATGAGGCGCAGAAGAGCTTCATCCCCAAGGAGAAGTATGCTGAGAAGGTTCCCGCTGGACGGGCTGGCAAGGATCAGGATATGGCTGCTACAGTGCTGTTCTTTGCTACGAACCAGTACCTGGTGGGACAGACTGTTGCTGTTGATGGTGGCTACACTATTGCCGCTGGTCAGTAAATTTGACAGAGGGACAAAAGCTGTATTATAGATGGACATGATATAATGAATCAACCGTAATGATTGACACACACGGCTTCAACTCGCCTTCGTTATGACAGCATGGCTTACATTGGCATGTATATTTATTTCCCAGTTACAAACGGTCTAGTGACTGGAAGTGAAAGTCATTAGCCAATGTATCTTCTGGAGTTACTGTTTGATATCCTTTTACATACCCTTGCAACCAAGGGGAGTTTGCGTATTTGGCTCCTCTGGGGTAGGTAGATCCTTTTGCCAGAGCTTATAGGTAAGTCTAACTTTAATAAGAACAAGTTATTATTATAATAATTGCTTTGCATCTGCAATTAAAGATATTGCGCCAAGGACAGCACTATTCAGGGAAAGTAAAGGCACGAGATCTACAAGATGGATGCCGTGGGGGCCAAGAGGTGGTCGGATGAGGTATATAGGTACTATACTTAATCTACTAAGGTTGGTAAGTAGTAAACTTTACAGCTTCTTATCCTCCTACACTTTACTCTGACTCTTAAACAAGGTAAATTCAATAGCTTCCTCGAGTGTAAGTTTACGACGCAGCAACAGCAGTATTACAATGAACTAACTGGAAGCTAACAGCTGAGTGCCTTGTTCTTATTTTCCATACTCACTAAGGTATCGTTTCCCCACTTCTGTATACCTAAGTCACGCCAGGCTTCAGAACTCAGCAGTTATGTCCTCCCTTGATCCAACATTCCCCGAACTCGAGACAGTTCGAAATCGTTTGAGCGAGACGATGAGAGAAGTTCAGAAAAAATAGATGGAATTACAGGAGATGATTGATCTCGCGGATAGCCTCGGTAGCATTGACCAGGACTTGATAACGCGAAGCGCTTCTAGCTCACGCAGGAAGAGGGGTCCATCAGCTTGGCGCAGTCACTAGACGTGGCGCTTTTTACCTCGAGCACCTCGATGAACTCTGCATAGACCTCTTTGAGGGTGATATCAGCAGCAGCTGGGAACGCGCTCACCGCATCGAGATCATCGCCGCTGAGCCATGGTGGTGGCGTTGATAGATATCGCGGGATTGTACCTGCGAATTCCCAGTCAATAATGCCAGATACATGTAGATCTTGCGTAACAATGATATTGCTGCACCTGAGGTCTTGGTGAGCCATAGAAAAGGGCGTCGTGGACTCGGGAAACTCCAAGGACCCGAAAGCATGCTTTGTGAGGCTCTCGAGTGCGAATAGCTCCATCCGCACCTGATCACTAGATAGGTCTTGGGTGGGTAGACGGTATGTTTCTGACAAGATGTGAGATTGGTAAGCCAAGTATTGCCCTTCAGAGGAGGGGGGTTCCAAGCCTCCCTGTTGTTGGCAGCACCTATACAGCTCGTTCGCAGACATGGACAGGATGGGACCGATTACAGGGTCAGGCCCACCGGCTGGGTTCGGCATGAGTGAACCTGCCACGGAGAATTCCAACTTGTAAAGCTGCGATAGAATATCGATCAGGTCGTGATAGAGGTGTTTCCGTCGGTCCTCTGTTGCGCCCGCAAGAGCCTTGAGACTGAGCGACTGACCCGAAATGTAGTCACAAATAAGAAACGCCACTGTCGCGGAACCATCCTGTACCAGCAAATCTGGGGCACGTCCGTACGTATAAACGCGCGGTATGGGGACTGTCGTGTTGTGCTCGACATATCTACAGGGCTATTGTGTTAATAGCAGGCGAACTAGAACTGCATTTGCATCTTGTAGCGTACCGCATTGTAGCAACTTCGCTTTGCACCTTTGCCCACGCATCACATACAACCGGCTCGAGGGGTATTCTCACAACCCACGTCACATTTTCGGCATCAAACAGGACAAAAAAACAGACGTTGAAGCTGCCGCGATCGTGCCCAACAACCCTGCAAGACTTGTGACTGTTATGTCGCGAGGCCAAGCGGCAGACTGCATCCTTGTCAATCGAGTCAATAAATCCTTTGATCCTGGCTTCGAGTTGCTGCTCCGTAGGAGGAAAGCCGCGCATGACGTTGTCATCGACCCGGACTCCGGCAGCTTGTTGCCTGTCATCATTAGACTTGTTCGCGTTCTTGTCGTGCTGGTCTTGTGTCGGGGGAGAGTTGATGCCGTATTCGACTTGAGTTGGTACGAGAAGTCTATAGAGGGCAAATATGGGAGAAATCAGAGACGCAAACTGCGCCAGAATGAAGCGATATATCACAGTCAGCATTCTCTTCAAGATCTCGCGCTATTGATGATGAATTGGCTACACGCTGTTTGCCTTTAACACATGAATCAGTATAGCAAGTGAAATAGCCAGGCCACGTGACCACAATGCGATTATATATAAGGTCAGGTAAGTAGTTATTAAGAAAGTATTTAAAAATTTAAAAAGTAATTATTAAAAATTAAAAAATTATTTTCTTTAAATTAAAATTTAATAAATACTACTTATTTACTTCTTATCAATAATAAGAAAGGCACTTATAGATAGATTTATATGCTAGAAATGCAAAAGAGAAACTCCGG